CAAATTACATGGATAAACTGTGAAACAATTACAGTGTTAATTCCTAAGCAAAATAATATTTCACCAAATAAAACATGGATATAATTTTGTTAAAATGCATTTGTCACACCTACTAACAGTGCTTTGATTACAAGTGATGCTTACAATTGGATTTCAGATGTGATGCTGCAATCAAAATAAACATCCAAGACAAACTGAGAAGCCCAAGTTCATCTTGGGTTTTTTATTAACCTTAAGTTAAATCTTGGAGTTCATTACTAGAAATGTACATACAGAGTTTTCCCAAGATCAGATAGTTTTCATCATCTGAAGAATACTTTATCCTTTTAAAACAAAATGGAGTATTTTCTGAGGACAATTTAATATTTCAAAAACAAGAATAAAGTAAATAAATCATTACGATCCACTTAGTACAAATTTAACACATTGCACTGCCATAATTTTTTACAGAGCATGTCGTAAGAATAAATCATAAATTACCAACACAGGTAAAAAACTAGTTCTGAATATGCAGACATACAATTACAGAGGATTCAAGACAAGATATATATATATGTACTCTGAAACTTAATAAGTCATTTATTTTGATTTTTGATATTAAACTCTTTAGATCTTAGTATTTATTATTTGAAGGAAGCATTTCTTTTAAATAAAATTTTGCTGCTGATTTCCTAGAAATAACTTTTGTTAAAAAATATTTGAAAATGTTGAAAAAATAAAAGTGTTGGGAGGAATCTTTATAACTGTACTACTAAATCAAAACTATTTAACAGGCATCTCTTGAAATGCATAGGTAAACACAATGAACTAGAAGTAGAATTACACATATTTTGTATCTGCCTTTTAAACTTAATATTCTTAATACTGTGCCCTGAACATCTTCCCATATTAGTAGCTATATATCTCCATGATATTCTAATAGCTACACCCTATTGCACTGTACAAATATATCAGCTTTTTAATCACTTAATTGATGAAAATCTGGGTTATTTCCAAATATTTTACTATGATTAGCTAGACTGCAGGGAAAGCAATCTTGACATATGCCTCTACAGACATGTCCATCTCATTAGGATAAATTTCTGTAGTGGAATTAATGGGTCAAAGGGGAATCCACATTTTAAACTTAAAGACATTGTCTATCTGCTCTCCAGAAGGGAAGGAAGTGTATACTTCTATCAATAGTCCATGAGTGCCCATTTCTTATATTACTAATAAGCATGAACAACCCTTTCCCTAAGTTTGCTGGCTATATGCATCTTCTCTTACATGGATTATCCTCTCATTTCCATGTCTCTTGTGGGGTGTTCATCATTTACTAATTAATTTGAAGAATTCTTTTTTTTTTAAGATTATTAATCTTTATCTGTTACTACAGATCTTTTTCTACTTTTTCTATTTTGCTTTCTTTGATAGTTTGGGCTTCTGAGTAACGATGTAAGGGGCTGTTCACCTCTCAAGATTATAAAAAAATATTCTACCATGTTTTCATTTTATATAATTTTATTATATTTAAAATTGTGAACCATCTCAAAGTCTATTGATGTTATATGTGAAGTAGGATCCTAGCTTTTTTTCCCAAATGGGTAGCCAGATGTCTTAATAAATAACTTTTTTCCCCACTTAAAAGCCATCTTTATCACCCCCAAAAGTGAGAAACATTTCTAGACTTTCTTTTGTTCCACTGATCTTTGACTAATATTTTAGTCACTCTACCCTGGAAAAAAATTTTCGTATCTGCTGAGACTCATTCCAACCTTTTTTTTCCCTTCCCCTTTCTGAATTGTCTGGCTACTTGCCCATTTTTTCCACAAAAAAGGCTTTAGAAACATTTTTTTTTCAAGTTTCTAAAAAGTCATATTGAGATTTTTATATGAATTACTTTGAATTTCCAGAGTATGAGGGAAAAATCTGTACACGAACCTGACCAAGAAATCTTTTGAGTATTCCATTTTGTCCCCCAGGAATTTCGCAGTTCTCTTTTTAAGGGTCCTGTACGTTTCTTTTAAGTTGGGTCACTTATATTTCACTGCTTTTTAAATTGGTAATAGTAGTACTTCTATTGTGAATAGATTGTCTTTCCATTATATTTTCTGACCAATCAACAGGTTTATATTAATCTTTGTATATTTATTATGCAATTGGCTACCTTTCTAAACTTATTAGTAGTCTTTCCACTGGTTCTCTTGCATTCTCCAGGTCTTGAACAACGTAACTGCAAATAATGATTCTTCTGTATGCTCCCTTCCACTATCTGTATGTGTGACTTTTAAAAATTTTAAAGGATATGTCTTATTACTAGCAGCTTTCATTAATTTTGCATAGACCTAATAAAAACCGTCAATTAATAAACTAAGCTCTTTGGGTTAGTTCAGGAAAGTTTTCTTTCTTTCTTTTTTTTTTAAAGATTTTATTTATCTGAGAGAGCGAGAATGAGAAAGAGAGAGCACATGAGAGGGGGGAGGGTCAGAGGGAGAAGCAGACTCCCCGCTGAGCAGCAGGGAGCCGGATGCGGGACTCGATTCAGGGACTCCAGGATCATGACCTGAGCCAAAGGCAGTCGCTTAACCAACTGAGCCACCCAGGCGTCCTCTTTCTTTTTTTTTTAAGATTTTATTTATTCACCTGACAGAGACAGAGACAGCGAGAGAGGAAACACAAGCAGGGGGAGTGGGAGAAGGAGAAGCAGGCTTCCCTCGGAGCAGGGGGCCCGATGTGGGACTTGATCCCAGGACCCTGGGATCATGACCCGAGCCGAAGGCGGCAGCCCGACTGAGCCACCCAGGCGCCCAGGAAAGTTTTAATTATTACTTCTTTCATTTTTCTGTTTTCTTTGGGCTGGCATACACAGAATTCAAAAATCGTATTTTTCTTTCGTTTGCTATATCTTAATTTTTTTTCTTTTTTTTTTTGAGAGTGATCAAATTTACCCATATGACCTATGAAGTTTTCAGTAGTGTCAATTATGCTGATTAGTCCCTCTTATGGGAATTTACTTTTGGAGTTTCCTTTTATTTTTTTTTTCATATTTCAGGATGCTCCCTTTTCGTTCCTTCTCTTTATCTCAATCTATTCCTTCTTTATGGCTAATAAAAATGAAATTATTTAAACACTTCTTTGTGCAAGCCAGAGCACTAAGCACTTCACACTTTAACTTGCTTACTTCCTACAAACGCTGAGGTAGATATCACTACCATGTAATGTGTGAGGAAACTGAAACTCTGGATGACTAGGTGATTTGCCCTGCACTCTACAGCTGATTAGTAGGAGAGCCAGGATTTAAAGCCAGGCCTTCTGTCTCCATAACCCCTGCTTTTAACAACCCTGCAAGCAGGTTTCCACATGCCCTTGGGCCTCCTCCCTGTTCACAGGGGAGTTCGGTTCCTTTCAGATCTTTATCTGTAATGAGGTGGCCTCCTAAGTACCTGTGTCAATTCCAGTGCCTGCTGGACTAAGGCAGGAGCAACTTCTGCTCCAATTCTTAGATAATCTGCGTAGATAATTGCTACAGTCAGACAAATGTTCTTTGAACAAGTGTCATACACTCTCAGCATTTGCTACAATCTAGGGATCCTCCACTCTCGATCCATTTGCAAGACTTCTTTGTGGTGACTGTATATCCAGGGGTACAAAGTGCCCCTCACTCCTCAATCCACAGTTGTACCAAAAATTGAAATCTGTAGTTTCTATCATGCAGGTGAAAGAAAGGGGCTGAGGAATACTGCAGGAGTGGGCACAGACATCAACTCTAGCTAGCTCGGATGATGGCTGGGCAACAAGGATTTGATTTTCAAGGTGGTGTAGCTCCTGCGTCCTGAGTTAGTGACTTGAGTTGGGGCTTTTTCTTAACTTCTCTCCAGTTAATCTGGATCCATGAATCAAATGATGGGCACTGGAGTTAATATAAATTCCCAGTGGATTTTGGCACAGGGTTTCATCTTTAGTTTGTAGTACTGTTACAATCTTTGAGGGTATTTTTGCATGAAGCTGGGAAAGGGTAACCAGGGATTGCCAACCTCTGGCATGTTTAACACATTTGACAAGCATTTGTATCACGCGGTGGGTTTGGGATTTAGACTCACTCTTAAGGCTGTCCCCCCATCAACCCCTAGCAGTCTGACTCTAGACCAAAGTGAATCTAGATTCCTTTTTATGATATAACATTTCTGGGCTCTTTTATTGGATGTAGGAAGTTCCCAAAATATGAGCTATTCCTAAGGCCCTACGGATTAGTAAAATTATCCTATGACAATTTTCAAGATGTATTTTTTAAAAAATCACTATGCTAATGGTAGTGTTGGAAAAAGAATTAAGGTTTGAGCTGAGGTGTTTTCCTGTGAGATGTAGTTGAGGAAGCAGAGAGAGCCAGGTCAAAGAGACCCGACAGGTTTTGCTATTCTTGAGCGTTATCTTGCACAGGAAAATGCTCTTTACACTGTGAATTGTGGAACCCCTTGGCACACATAGAATTTCTTGCCTCAGTAAAGCTAAGCTAAGGACATTATAAAATGTTACCCCCCCTTTTTTTTTTCCCTCTTCAGAAGCATGTATGTTATTTTGAACTTCCATGGCCAAAGCTACTCTGGATGGAAGCAGCTAACAAATGCATCAAAAATATTAAATGTGTAATTGGAAATCCCAAGCTATACTAAGTGCTTCTCATCTGTGTCCCTATGTCACCTTCTTGGGATGACTGGTTTTATATGTCAACATAATATCACATTTTGTTTATGTGTTTACGAAGAGTCACCGGGTGACTTCAGGTAGATTATCCTCAATAATGAAGGTGGGCCTCACCCAATGGGTTGAAAGCCTTCATATTGAAAACTGAGGTTTCTCAGAGAAAGAATTCTGCAATGTAGAAACCCTGCTGGCCCACCCTATTGATTTGGCTTATCAGCCCCCATCTCTTTATAAACACGTGTGTGTGTCGGTGCGTGTTTGTACGTACACAGGAGGCTAGGCTCGTAGGAAGGAAAACAAGAACAAAAATAATCAAACTTCATTTCCTTGTGCATGACATTGATGGCAAGATTTCTAAGTAATCATCCCTTTATTTAGTTTCGATAAGGACTTCCAGCACAGAACACTGTTAGAAATTAACCATTAGGAACTACATAAAAGAGATGTAAGGCAAATACTATATAAAGACCAAATAGATAAACACAGGTTTTATTTTTCTACAGAATTTACTGCAGGTTATCATGTAATGAAGACAAAAGCAGATCACTCTTAATGTATCAAATTTGTTTAGTAATTTAAATAAAAACATAGAACTCCCATCACTCAGATAATTCTAAATCTATTTTGGAAAATCAAATCATCAGGAAGTATCTCTCAGGAGACTAGGTACCTACCTATCACATTATGCCAAAAATAAGGCTGCTCTCTTCACAGAATATATGGATAATGAAGGGGGAGAAATCGGAGGGGGAGACGAACCAGGAGAGACTATGGACTCTGAGAAACAAACTGAGGGTTCTAGAGGGGATGGGTTAGCCTGGTGATGGGTATTAAAGAGGGCATGTTCTGCATGGAGCACTGGGTGTTATACACAAACAATGAATCATGGAACACTACAGCAAAAACTAATGATGTAATGTATGGTGATTAACATAATAAAATACAATTTAAAAAAAGGTGGCACTAAATATACAATTAAAAAAAAAAGAATATGTGGATAATGAGTAATCAACCATCAATACAGTGGATGTTCTAATATTGGGGAAATAGTGGAAAACTATTTGTTAAAAAACACATTTCTCTGGACATTGTTTATCTTGCCCTTGCAAGAGACTTGTAGATCCAGATGAGATTAGCTTAGAAAAGGGATCTTATTTAGTCCAGAAAATCTTCAGAGTCCAATACAGTTCTGAGCTAATCAGGTATTAAAGAACCTTTACAAGGACAAGTAGGTTTGGAAATCACACAGTCTTATTTTGAATTAGCTTCTTTTAGTCAAAGGTATGGAATTAATGATCAAGCACCAGGAATTTCTGTAACGCACCCAATGCCAAATGACTACTGACATTTTATTTCCTACTATGATGACTCCTTGATTAGAGGCAGGTGGGAGGCATAAAGAATATTGTGAGCTATAAAATAAATTCTACTCCAATGCTCAGATCTCTAAAGGCAAATCTTGTTTTTTAATATAAGAAACTCACTGAATCAAATGAATGCTGAATAGAGCAAAGGTAGTGTAAGTAAAACTGGGACAGGAAACTTCTAATTGCATAGGAAATACATGAAAGAATTAATCATTCTAAGAGAAGAATCATTTTCCCACGAGCCCCACTGCTATGGATGATATTTTCGTGAGCCTGGGCCACCTTCTCCAGTGAATACTGAGAACCTATTACAGGTCTCAACCAACCAATTTCCATTCCGGCTTGAAGGGCGGCTGCAAACTGCCTAAATTCCTCCTAAGTGAAAGAAAAAGGTCTTTTTGTATTACTCGTGACTTAATTTTCAGAAAAATTTTCAGATTATAAGAGTCGGAACATAAACAGTTCCTTACAAATATGTGGCTTTTGTCACTTGTCCAGAACTAGAGAAAAAGTAGTTTTCTATATAGTAACCTTAAGTCCAATTTGAGGCAGTGTCAGTTTACAAAAAGCCTATTGTCCTGAAGCAACTACTAATAGTATCTCCCTTCTCTCTCAAAAGTGTCTTGCCTTGGAAAATAAATTACATTGCCCCCCTAGTTATCTTGTAGTGACTAATCCTCAACATACCCATCCAGTCAGATAACAAAGTTTAACATCTACTGGAATTTTCAGTCTGCCTGACTAGGCAAACTGTATCAATGTTTTAAGTTATCAAAATCAGAGTCACTTATTTTCCTACCTTAGTTGATGAATAGAGAGCAACTCCAATTATACTAGATTCCTTTGCCATGGTGTCCCGTGGGTTTATTTCAATAGGACCTCTGCTGCCAACAACCTAGTATGAAAAACAACTTTTCTATAGTTAAAGATTACTGCAAAATAGTATTAAGTTATGGTAAAGCTTCAAAGTGGTAAGAAGAAACCAAAATACTTACTATTACTCGTCCTCCATATGACAGAAGATTCAAATCATTACTAAGATTTACATTAGCTAACATTTCAATGATCACATCAATTCCCTTTTCACCAACAGATTTCTATGTAATAAAAAAATGCAGAGTAAGATAACAAGTGGAAAAAAAAAACAACTGTAAAACAGTTATCACAGTCCCATATATTATAGAAATGTGTTTCAAAAGACATAAAATGCTACATTTTTAAGACTAATAATACAAATTTTAAATGATCTAATTATATAGTATTGATGTAATTCCAAGGTACCAGTCACAACATTTAAAGTAATAAAGATTTATACTAAGTAAATTTCAAGTGCTTCGACTCAACTTGACTATAAAATACTTTTTCCTCAGTTGAAAATTTTCTGTCTTCAAAATGTATTTTCACAGAGAAGTAAACAAATCCCAAATCCCAAAAAGACTTCCACTTTTGTTAAAAAACAAAAAGCAAAAGAAGAAAATCATTGGCTGTTTGGTGTTGCCGAATTTTTTTTTGTGTGCGTTCAATTTTGTCCCAAGTGGTTTACAATCAGCTTGGCATACTACTTTTCTTTTGGGTTTTCAGAGATGTTGGTTTGCAATATCCAAAACTGGCTCTTCTCTTAAATAAGTTATACATATATACCTTATACTGATTTTATTTAACAAAAAAAATGAATACCTGTGTCAGGCATTGTTAAGTACTGGGAATTCAAAGATGGACACAGAGAACTCAAAACAAAGCTAGGGAGAAAGATGGAAACCTACCGCAATCATAGCTGTGACGGGATGGGCTAAGTGCTGCGTTAGTGGAAATAAACTATAGGTTATAGAGAAAAACAAAGCTATAACTATGATCACCTGTAGTGATCAGAGAAAGTTCAACAGAGAGGAGGACCTGGGCCCTGAGGAGTGAGCAGGAGCTCTTTAAGCAAAATGGAAGGAAGAGGAGCCAGCAGAAGCTGCACCTGAGGTGGGAGAAAGAGAAAACAGAACAGCTATGGACTGAGAGTCCGAGTCGGGATTAGAAAGTAGCCCAGAGGAGCTGAGGCACGTGTTTGGGAAGGCGGGCGGCAGGGAAGAGGTAGAGAGGCGACTGTCAACTATATCAGTATGGACTGGGAACACGTATTAAATGCCATGTTAAAGGAGCTAGACTTTTGGGAGGCAGGTGCTAATTTCTGTGCCAGACCCTGTTTTAGATCTGAAGGTGCAGCAGGGACCAAGAAAGACAAAAATTCCTACTCTCATGGAGCTTCCATTTTAGTTATTTCTGGAGATTTTTTTTTTTTTAAAGGAGAACCAAATAAGTCTAGAAAATGTGAAGACAGAAGGGGATATTAGGTCAGTTATAAATAACAGACAAAGCTGGAGAAGATGAGGACTAAACTAAGTCACAGCAGAGACGAGAACAAAGGGAGACATATTTGAAAGGCATGTCAGAATCGAAACTGACAGAGGGAGGTGGCAGACTTGACGGGCAGGAAGGAGAACAGTGATTAAAAGATAGGAATGAAAAATGAAATGTGGGTCTGTCTCGGGTGAGCAGATGAGTGGTCACGTCCAGCAGGCTGACGGCACGAAGGAAGGGAACGCAGGCCAGAGACAGTGCTGGAAATCAGCAGGATGTGGGCACAAACTGAAGCCATAGGTGTAGATGAGACTGATCGGGGGAAGGTCTAGCACCAGGAAGATATGAGACCAAGGGGAAAGGCTAAGGAACAGCAACACTTAAGTAATACGGGAGGAAGGGGACTGAAAATGAACTCAGGGAAGTAAGAAGAGAACCAGCTGCCAGGAGATGTGATCAGGGTCAGCTGCTGCCAAAAAATCACACAGTACGAAGGCTAAGCCAAAAGCAGCAGAGGGGTAAGTAGGAGCTCACCGGTGACCTCTGACAAGCAAAATGCAGTGGAAGGTGCTGGGAGGTAAGGAAGTAAAAGGAGTAAGTATTCACTGCTTTTTCAAGAAGTGCAGTGGTAGAGGGGATGGAGGGTTTGATAAAAGGTTAGGGGAATGATTTGGAGAATAAGAGAGACTTAAGCAGAAGGAGCTAGTAGAAGAGAAAGAAGCCACAAGACCTCAGGGTCTTAAAGTCAGATTTCTGCAAAACAAAAACATATTCTTAAATTAACTGGCCATTTTTCATCTTTGTAAATACTGTTGGATGATGGGAGCAGGAGTAAATATTCAATTAATTTTAGGTTTCCTAGACATATACAAAGGAGTAACTTTACTCAGTTTTTTGGCAGTATGATTTAGTGCTAATAAATAAACTCTCACTCATATTCTCCTCAATTTGTTAATGACTGAGGTTACACAGTAATCAGTACCTGGAAAATTCTAAGTCTTTCTCAACATAAGCAAGTAATTTGAGGTTTAGCAAAGTAATCAGTACTTAGTAAATTGCTACTATAGTACAAACAGAGAACTTCAGAATCTGCTTGAATTCTGCTCTAACAATGGAATATATGCAACAACTAACCAAAACCTTCACTGCTCTGGATGAGGTAATGATTATTCCTCCACGGCATCCAATTAAAAACAAACTCTTTTCCCTAGGCTAGACAGATCCAGTTTGTAATCTGTAGATACCTCACTTTTCACTAAAAAGTCACACCAACATAAATTATATTAGGAAAACCTCGTGGTTGCCAGAGGCAGAGGGCTGGAAGTGGGTGAAATGGGTGAAGGCGGTCAAAAGGTACAAACTTCCAGTTATAAAAAAAAAAAAATAAGTCACGGGGATGTAAAGTACAGCATGGCGAACACAGCTGTTAATACTGTATCACAGATTTAAAAGTTGCTAAGAGTAGATCTTAAAAGTTCTTACCAGAAGAAAAAAATTTTGTGACTATGTATGGTGATGGATGTTAGTGAGATTTACTGTGGTGATCATTTCACAATATCTACAAATATCAAAAAAAGTAAAAGGAGGACACCTGGATGGTGCAGTCATTTAAGTGTCTGACTCTTGGTTTGAGCTCAGGTCATGATCTCAGGGTCATGAGATCGAGGTCCACATCGGGCTCCATACTCAGCAGAGTGTGCTTGAGTTTCTCTGCCCCTCTCCCTCTATACCTCCCACTCCCCTCACCATACTAGCTCTATCTCTAAAATAAAAATAAATCCATCAATAGATGAATGGATAAAGAAGATGTGATACATATATTATATATATATATATATAATGGAATATTACTCAGCAATCAAAAATGAAATCTTGCCATTTGCAACGATGTGGATAGAACTAGAGGGTATTATGCTAAGCAAAGTAAGTCAGACAGAGAAAGACAATTATCATATGATCTCACTCATATGTGGAATTTAAGAAACAAGGCAGAGGAGCATAGGGAAGAGAGGAAAAACTAAAACAAGACAGAACTAGAGAGGGAGACAAACCATAAGAAACTCTTAATCATAGGAAACAAACTGAGGGTTGCTGGAGGGGAGAGGGGTAGAGGGATGGGGTAACTGGGTGATGAACATTAAAGAGGGCATATGATGTAATGAGCACTGGGTATTATATAAGACTGATGAATCACAGACCTGTACCTCTGAAACCAATAACACACTATATGTTAATTGAATTTAAATGATTAAAAAATCCCCAAAAAACAAAAAATAAATAAATGTTAAAAAAAAAACAAAACAACTCAGGGCTCTAAATACAGAGCTATGACTTTACTTAAAATGTGACTACATTAAAGAGTACCAATTTTTATAGCTATAAGACTCTGGAAAGGCTAGGTTTTATTTGATAAACATAAACAAGACAGACGAGAGTAAAGGTTTGAAAATTAGACATCTCTGCTTTTTAATTTATTAAAACTGTAAAACACATAGGCATAAAAAAGAAGCAAACAACTTTAAGAGAGTGGTTGATAAGAAAAAAGAACTTACAAAAAAACAAAGTCTCCCAAGAAATAAAATCTACTTTTATAAAATTGTAGAGTAATTTTACCTTAATTTTATCAATATAATTAAGTTCTCTGTGATTGAACACTTCATGGGCTCCATTTTGCAAAACAATGTTTTGTCCTTCCTCAGTACCAGCTGTGCCCAAAACCTTTAAGCCATAAGCTCTGGCAATTTGGCATGCTGCTAGTCCAACCTGAAAAACAAAATATAAATGCCTAGTTTTAGATTCTTTGCATCCCTGCAAATATTTATTAAATATATGTAATAAACAAGGTTCTTCTAGGTCCTACCCTATCCTTAAGGAATTTTGAGTCTAAATGAAGAAATAAGAACAACAATAGCTAACTTATATTGAGCATTTATAATGTGTCAGGTACCACTCAAAAGACTTTCTATCCATTGCTTTATTTTAGCCTCACAATAAGCCTAGGAGGTAGATACTATTATTGTCCATATTCCATAGATGAGAAAACTGAGGCTTATAAAATATAAGTAATATGCCCAGGTCACAGAGATAGGAACATGGCCAAATCACAGAGCTGCACCAATTCAGTCTGTAGAGCTTGAGCTTTTAACCACGGTATCAAAATGCTTACTATTAGCATCTACTTTGTGCAGAAGGTATGGGGTTTAAAGATATTCAAAACCTGCTCACTGACTTCATACTTTAACAGTACATATGAAATGCTAAATGACAAATGTGACACCATTTAAGTGGAAGAGATAGGTATATGAGCAAATTAATCCATTCATCCATATGATGACCATTTACTGAGTGTTTACTATGTGCTAGGCATGGTACTTCATGTAAGAAACTTATACTCTGAGAAAGGGGGAAAATAATAAATACACAAATAAATGAATAAAGTACATTCAGAAAAGAAAAAGTGCTATGAAAAAAAAAACCCAGCCTATTGGAGATAGGGAGAGGGACTAGTGAGGTCACCAAGAAAGACCTGAGTGAAGTGAGGGATGAGCTGTGTGAGTATCTGGAAAGCCTGGTGGAGAATGCTGTTGGCAGAATGGTTGTGGCTCACCTGGTGACATGGGAATGAGCTTAGGGCATTCAAAGGACTGAAAGAGGGTCATTAAATGTCTGCCTTCGGCTCAGGTCATGATCCCAGGGTCCTGGAATCGAGCCCCGCATTGGGCTCCCTGCTCGGCAGGAAGCCTGCTTCTCCCTCTCCCACTCCCCCTGCTTGTGTTCCTGCTCTCACTATCTCTCTCTGTCAAATAAATAAAACCTTTAAAAAAAAGTAAGAAAATAAAGCCACGGATTGCATGAAATCACTAGATCACTAAATAAATGTACTTAGGATAAAGGAGAAATAAAAGCATATAAGGAATATAGCTAAAAACAGTTTTTTGAATTGCAATACTAGGAAATCTATGTTTGGTTACATGCCACATGAATGGTACAGGTAAGTGTCACATACATTTAGAGCAGGGCTTCTCAAACTTAGCACTACTGACATTTGGGGCTGGACAATTCTACGTTGCAGGGGGCTATCCTGTGCTTTGAAGGATGTTTAGCAGCATGTCTGGTATTTATCTACTAGACACCAGAACCCCTCCACCCAGTGATAACCAATAATGTCCCCAGACACTGCCCCAAATGTTCAAGGGGGAGGAGGGATGATGCCAACCCACCCCTCAATGATAACCAATGATTTCGAGGGAGGTAAAATCATTATGGACTGAAAAGAATTAAAATGAAAAATGATGATAGAAACTGATTAAAATTGTAACAGAATCACAGACTCCCAGGTTTGAAATAGACTTTAAAGACTGTATGGCATATGGGAGTGATGAGCCTGAACTCAGTTGGGTTTTGGCAGGGGCCTGTTTGATTTAACCAAAACAAACAAACAAATGCCCAGGACTCACAGTCTCCTGAGTCAGAGAGACATTCAATTCCACGAAATACTATGGAGTTAGCACTACTGATTTTTGCTACTTTAAAAAAAAACAAAACAGGCCTTTAATAAAACTACATCTAAACTAAAGGTTTAATGTAAATATATCTCCTTCTGCTCTAAAGAGGCATTTAATAGCTATTCTGAAGGTACTGTTTATGCCATTCTTGTCAACAATTATACCAGGAACAGTACTTCAATAGATTATACAACCATTATGTGTCAGTTATTGTTCTTCTATTTACTTTGCTGACACTAAAATAGGGCACTCCCCACCAACGTATCTGGATAACAGCTGTGTTCACAAATTCCACACCATTTTAAATACACAACATAATCCCAGAGGAATTTGAATTAAATGAGGACAGAAAGTACAAAGAGAAGCAAGACAAAACCCAGCACTATTTCCCTTTGGTAGGGCGGGGAGGATCAGAAGCTTTCTCACACCAGGCCACCAGCCTATCCCTGCCAGCCAAGGATTTAACAAACTCAGCCAGCTCAGAGAACAGTGTGGATTTTGCCTTAAAAAAAAAAAAAAAAATTAAAAAAATCATGGTGAAGTGACTGGGCTTTTTACAAGCGGGTAAAGGGAATAAAAAGAGATTTTCTTTAAATTCTTCTCTGCCCTTCCTACTGAAACCTCTCCCTTTTATACAGTGCACCAGGTTAGCTCTCAGAAAGCCAAAGCAATTTAAATAAATGCAAGTTTGACAGATCCTTTAGTTATTTTGGGTTAAATTTAATTTAATCCAAAAATAGCCTCTTTGGTGAAGCTAAGCAATGGGAATTTTTGACAAAGCATATCTGTCATATTTTCTCAAGCCCCAAAAAGACAATCTTAGTCTTTTTAGTAAATACTCTGATCTGTGAAATCCTTCAGAATTGATCTATTTGAGGTAGACAGGAGGCTAAGTGTGGAACCTTGTGCTTCATCTATTTGAAGTAACAGAAACACAATGGGCTGAACGCTCTGTAGTCCCTGGCCACCTTTAGAGGTAAATTCACATTTTTAGGATGCCACTCATTATTCCAGAACAATGTGCCATTTGACAGGCTACTCCTTTCAACTACTCTGTGGAATACACAGTGCTCTGAAAGGGTTAACCAGCTTCCTCAAGGTGAGCCATCTAGCCCCAGGCCCTCTATTTTAAAAAAACGCGAAATCTCATCTCCAAAATTTCTAAAGCCTCTATATGCAGGATAGAGGTCATGTGGATTTCTTGTTAAATTCCAACCTCAGAGCTCTAACTTTTCCTCTAAGCTCCTCAGAGGCAGATTGACAGCCGGTTTCTTGAAGAAGCTTCTGACAGCCCTGTGTTGGGTTATTTCACTGAAGGGCTTATTTTAAAGTTCTCAGTCCCCTCCCCCCCCATTAGCATTTAAGCCACGGGTTGTGGTGTTAAGGACACAGCCATACACCGTGCATTCCGTGAATGTCCTTAAAGCGCAGCAGGCAAGCAGTGGGAGGGAGATAGAAGGGTCTGAGAATTCACAGAGTCGCTTTCCAGTGCTGTCTGGGGCAACACAGGTAAAGCTTTAAGGAGCCTTAGTTTCCTTAGCTAAGGGAATATGGAATTAATATTAACTTTAAAAAACTGTTTAAAATTCCAAATAAATACTCTTACAACATATGCTACTTGAAGGCAAAAACAAAGCCAGTTCATTTTGGTCTGCACCTGACACAGGTGGAAAAACTAACCCAGACATTTTTAATGGGGTGATCTGCTGAATGTATTAACCAAGAAATGCTAAACTAATGACAAGGAATCACCTTCAGAAGACAGCATTTAAAGAAGCTATACTACAAAAAGGAATATATGTACTGACTACAAATATTGACCATATTTATTAACTTGGCTTTTAAAAATGACTGAAAAGAAATATAATGTGAAACCCACACACATAAGCTCCTTTAAACATAAACTTAAAAATAAATACTTACTCCTCCGCTAGCCCCATGAACCAGCACACTTTCTCCAGCTTTCACACGGGCACTGCAAAACAGGACAAGGGTTCATCACCTCAAGTCGAAGGTAATGAAGCTCAGGTGTGTCATTCTTCTTAAGGAAATTCTACCCTCAGTTCAGCTAACACGTCCCCAAACAGGAAACTCATCCTGCCCTACAGCCCAAAATATTCTCCAAGCTTCACAGGATCAAATGAGGGTTCTTCAGGGCCATAGACGAAAGAAAACATGAAATTCATTTGTTCGTTCAACAAACATTTAATGGGAACCTATTACGTGCCAGGCACGGTGCTGGATGCTGGTAGCACATCAGGGTGCTACCTTCCTTCTGGGAGGCTACAGTCTTTGGAGGCACGTGAAGTGAAACAGCTGAACCTAGAGGAACTGGAGTTTCTCATTCATTCCTACAGAAAGTGTCTCAAAACAGGCTTATGATAGCCCAGTCTCGGTTCTGTGACCCAGGGGAATGCCCAAGAAAACGCAGAAGTTAGATGATTTATGAAAACATTTTTCCTTCTCCATGCCTTTGAACATCAGGTCGTGCAGCCTCTAAGCCCACATTTCAGAGAGCAATGCTGAATCAGCAGCGGTACGAGACTAAGAAATATGATCAATCCTGTCACAAAGGTTTCCATGTCACACCAAAAAATGTCTAGATCCTCCGGTAAAATGACATATTCTACTTCTGGTTCATCTGACTACTTTTCCATTATACGGAAAATAAGGCACATGCAGCAAGACAGACAGGAGATGCTTTATTATTCCAGGTGGACAATGCTAATGTCCCAATCCAGCAGCTGTTCTGTGATCCGGATCGGACTCTCAGGGAGGATCTCTTACTTCCTAGAACAATAGGGGTGGCCACACTGTACAGACCGTTATGTTCAATCTGGGAGTAAGAACACAATGACCCAGAGTCATGCTCAAGGCTGCGTGCCAACAGCTGACAAATGGCAATTACGAGCAGTAAATGAAACCTCTTCCAATACTCTTGTTTAGAGATGAGGGGACTGAGGGCAGTGAGTTAAATGGAGAGTCTAAATGATTAACTATCACCAAACACTCTGACATTTTAAAAAGTAAAATATGAATGTAAGGGAATAGGATTACTGATGTCATCCTATGGGATATGAAATACTTTTCCCAGTAATGGTTCTTTTAAGAATCTTTCAAACAACCCCTCAAACACTAAGAGCACATTCTCCTAAACCACTGGGCCTGGGGCGGGTGGTGAAAAAGCAAGCTAACCCTGTCGCGGGTCCCCCTGCTATGATCCTTCTACCCTTACACAGTCATTGTGATGGTTAATTTTATGTGTCAGCTTGGCTGGGCCATGGGGCCAGAATTTGGTTAAACATTATTCTGGATGTCTCTGTGGAGGGCCTCATCCAATCAGCTGAAGGCCTTAAAAGAACAAAAACTGACTTCTGGAACAAGAAGTAATTCTGCCAGTAGACTGCCTTTGAACTCAAACTGCAACTCTTTCCTGGGTCTCCAGCCTGCCAGTTTACCCTATCAGACTTTAAGCTCACCAAGCCTCCACAAATCAATCTCTCTCTCTCTCTCTCGTATATATGTATGTATGTAATACGTACATATGTACGTACACATTCTGTTGTTCTGTTCCTCTGGACAACCCTGACTAATACAGTTAGCTCCCCTGGGGGCTCGTGGCAGGGGCTCGAGCCTTGGCCTGGCCTTCCATGCTATTGTTCCAGACTTCCTCCCAGTCACTGAAGATTAGTACCTGGCACATTAGTACCTGGCTTTCTCTTCCACGCCAAAGCCAGCCCTAAGCTAAAAGATTTCAACATTCTCTGGGAAGAAAACCTTGAATCACAATTCCTGAATTCTCCCCTTTAGCCACTCTCTCCCAAGGCGGAACCTGGTAACCACCCCCAAAGTCTCTACTAGAGAAGTATCAGACCCTAATAACCAGTGTTATGACAGTAATCTCCAATCCTAATTCTGTAAACCCATATTCTCTCAAAATCTTTTCTTCAACTTCCCAGAGATTGCCGTCTCTGGATTGCTCAATTCCTGCCCACCTGTTGCTCCTGGCTCCATTTCCTGCACTAGCCAGCCTGGACCCCGCAGCAGCTTACCCCGACTCCTCTCTCTTCCTCTCCTGTGCTCTCATTTCCTTCATGCTACTCCATTCTGTCACTAACACTCCAGCCCTGGGTTAATGTTAAAATCCAGCTTCCTTGATAATCTACCCAAATGACGAAGTACTATTTAAAAAAAAAAAAAATCACGTGACCATGCATTTTGGTGCCACTTCTGTTCTGATTCTCAAAAGATCACTTTGCCTCCCATTTAATTATGAAAAGTGAGGCAATCTCATATGAGTTCCTTCAACACTCTACCTCCCTACCCACAAACTTTTCCATAGTTATACCATCTTTACCTATTCTGGGTTTAGCAGATGAGATACCCTTTAATATCTGAGGCCAGTCTTGCCACACGTCCTACCTCCTTCCATATTGCCATCTGCCGCTCCACCCTCTCTTCCAAACCTTCCGTCGCTCCCGCTGCTAGATCTTTCCTCAGCTATAAACATATTCAGCTCCCATCCAACCTGTTGTCCCCACAAACTCCCGAGTACTCTTCTACTTCCTCCTCCCTAGCTCCATTCGAGGAACCCAATTCCACCTCCTTCCTCAGCCCACTCAATCAAGCTTCTGTCCCGCCGCTCTACTGGGAAAGTGATCTGGACTCAAGTCACCAGTCACCTCCTAATTGCTAATCCTAACTGTTCTTTTTTTTTTTTTTTCCAAACACATCTCACTGCTGCATTTGACAGCTAGCTTCCCTTCTCAGTAGCAACATCAACCACTGCCCCTAACACCACCAACACCAACAGAGTACTTACTCTGTGCCAAGGTCTGCACTGAGCTTCACAAGGTATGACTTCACTGAATTCTCACCACACCTCTAGGAAGGAGGAGCTATTAGTATTCACAGTTTTCAAACCACTAAACTACAGCCGAGACAGGGAAGTAACTGGACCATGGTCATATGGCTGGTAGTAGGAGAAGACAGTCCTGTAACCCAAGTCTTTCTGTCTTCAAGGACCATGAACTTAGGTGTTTAACAGACACCATGACCTCTAGACACCCTTGGCCTTGGCAAACGCTCCCTTTGGTCTCTTAGGACTCTGCCCCCTACCTCTGACTATACTCCTCCATGCTGATTTTCTCTTTCTATTCTCACTCCACTGTTCTTCATTCCCTGAAGGTTTTCAGTCACTTTCATCTTGTCAACTCCCACCCACAGGATGATAACCCCATGTTGACATCTTTACCCTTCAGGCTTCAGATTCTTTCACACAACAGGTTGCTGGTCTTTTCCAACATGATGCCTGTCTTGGTTTCAACTCCAAAACTGGACCAAGCTTCCCTTTGAAACTTTTTCCTTCTTTTCTTCGTCAGAGTTAAACATTTACCAACCTCAAGAGCTAGAAGTATCCGTTAAGTTCATCTTCTCTCTCATTCTCTACATGCAAACAGTCACCAAACACACCTGATTTTACCCTCTAATAGTTGTCCTTTCCCTTCCACCTTTTCTACCATGGCTCTTGCTCTGGTCCTTAGGTATTTTGCCTAAAGGATACTCGTATAAGACCCACCCACTCCTGTCATCAAATCCATCCTTCACATACTGATAGGCGATCTTAATAAAACACTCATATAACAGTATCACTCTCCCGAATAAAATATTTCATGACCCCCAATCCCTTACGGAACAGTGTGCGAGCTCTATCATCTTGCTTTTTACAATCTGAAACCTACCTATTTCATGTGACAGCTAATATTTATTAAAAGATTACTATATTCCAACCTAATTCCATGCCATTCTTTGCCTTCAAACCTTCCATCCAACAAAACCAAATTGCTACAGCTCTCCTTAAATATCATGATTCTCCCCCACAACACCAGGCTATTCCCATTGTCTAGAGTTTCCTCTCGCCTCCCAGCTATCCTTCCCCAAGATAACTCCCTGATTAAAGTACATATTTTCAGAGGGGCGCCTGGCTGGCTCAGTTGGTGGAGCATGTGACTCTTGATCTTGGGGTTGTGAGTTCAAGCCCCATGTTGGCTATAGAGATTACTTAAAAATCAAATCTTTAAAAAAAATCATATATATATATATATATATACACACACACACACACACACATTGTCAGATCCCAGCCATGGAAACTGACCAGTGGGTCTAGGGTAGGGCCCTACATGGTATTTTTAAATTGCAGCAATTAGTTTCTAGGGCTGGATAACAAGATTTTTTGAACCATGACTTTAAAATAATCCAAGCCTTACATCTTGGCAGGAAGCCCTATCTCATCACCACTGTTACATCCCTTATGATCCCATAAATCCCTATGCACATCTACACCACTGTACTTTCCACATTATACATCAATATTATAACCCTTATGTCTGTGTCTCTTACCAGACTGTCAGCATCTTAAAGACAAAGACAGCATTTTGCTCTTCTTTGTATCCCCAGTGATTAGAATAATCTCCCAAATTAGCACAGCTTCCACTCCATAAATGCTTAATGGTAACTAAATAGTAACCGGATAGGAGAGATATGGATGCATGATAGGAAGGCAGGCGATACCGGCTGTATGACTGGCCGTGTGTGTCATTACCTGTGGAGCAGAGCTCGATAAGCAGTAAAATAGGGAATACCGATGGCAGCTCCTTGCTCAAAGTCCAGTTTTTCTGGCAGTGTGTAAACACTGTCATCTGCTGCGAGAGCAAACTCGGCGTAGCCCCCAGAGATGGTGCTGGTAGTGAAAACTCTGTCACCTTTCTAGGGAAAGCAATAAATTGATAAATGCACCAGGGATTAAAAATGTCAAATGGGTATAATCCTTTATAATGCAACTTTTATAACAACAAGTATTTATATATTGTTTTCTACATCTTACGGTCTCATAAAACTATCTTCAGCATATTAAACATTTTTAAAGGTTTTATTAATAGAAACCAAGAAGAAGAAAACTTAAGGAAAATAGGAAAAAAAAAAAAAAGGGAAAGAGAACCTCCAGAATGGTATAATGAGAAAACAACTAACCTTTATTGCCTTTATCGAGAGAGCTTACTGTGCAAGACACTGTATTAGGAGTCTAATGAGTATTGTCTAATTTGATCTTCTCAAGAACCTATGAGGTAAGCACTTTTCTTATCACCACTTTAGATTAATTCCACTATACAAATGAGGAAGTTGAGGGACAAAGAAGTTCAATAATTTGCTCAGATTAAGCAGTTAGTAAATGACAGTTAATACAACACCAAGAGCCGGAAACTATGCCTGGATCCTGACAGCAAGATGAGCTGGGACAGGCTTCTTCACTTGTTACAGCATCAGAAACACAGTAAACTCTCAGTAAACTCTGCTGGGTCCTTGCTATTGAAAAGCAGAGGCATAACTGAGGGTGAGGTAAGGCACGATGCAAGACTTAGCGCCTGCCCAATGTGACCTGCATGCTAGGGAAATCAGACTGTCTACTACAGACACCTGCCCGAACTCTTCTTTCTTGAAAAAAATGTAAATATTCCTTGGAATAAGCAAAATATTAAGGCAATAACTTTCAGGATACTTAAATTGCCCCCCCCCAAAAAGATCTAAAAAAGTAATAGCACTATGTGGTGGGACAGAAACAAAAAAGATTCAAAAGGCATCCACCCAGCGGTCAGACTCATCACTGCTTAACAGTGCCACTTGCAAATGGGCAGCTATGACTGTGTTAAGATTAATCCTGCTTTAATAGCTTAAAAAGGTGTTGCACAGATTGCAATATAATTCAAACACATTCTAAGAATTCATTATGGAAAGCAGGACTTTGAGTTCTGTGATGGATATTAATAACAAAACAACTTCCCCCATCTAAAGCATCCTAAACCCTGGGAAGAGAGAAAAGGAAAGGACAGGAGTAACTACAATGCAAGAAAACATGATGAACCATCAAAGATAAGTAACCAGGAAAAGAAAGGAATTATTTCTAAGTTGAAGGAATCAAAAATAGCTTCACTGAGAAGCCAATATTTAAGGTAGGTCTTGAGGAATTGGACAAGATTTTGGAAACTAGAACTGACAAGAGTCATTATGAGTGAAGAGAACAAAGTAAACAAAGGAACAGTGGCAGGAATAAATGCTGAGGAACTGCTAGCATTTGTGCCCAATGAGTAAGTAGTCTTATATATGGAAGGTAATAGTTTCAGAGATAAAATGAAAAGGAACTAAAGCTGGAGGGTAAAAGCCCCCGCACCTCTGTTTGTAAGTTTCAGTTTCATTCTGCCAAGCAGAAGAACCAACACGAGCGAAGACAGGGAAGGAAGAGTGTGGGGTATGCACCTTAGTGGACAGCACAGGTCCACAGCTTGGTGGAAAGTTCTAAGTAAAGATGTCACGTGTGATCCTGGAAACCGTGGGGTCATGATGAAGGCACAGAATTCCAGAGTGTAAAGAAGACTGAGAACACTGGGCAACACTGAAATTGGAGGAGCATCCCGAGAAAAAGCAGCTTGAAAAACAATGCCTAGGAGGAAGTGGGGCCGAGACGAGAGAAAATGATGTCATAGAAGCCGAAGAAAAAAAAAAATTTTTTTTAAGAAAAAGCGGCTGAAGAGTGTCAAATGTCACCAAGAAGTCAAGAGAGATAATGACATAAAAGGGCCCATTAACTCCAGCAATCGAGAGGCCATTAGTGACATTAGCAAGAATGTTTCAGTGGAGCTATGAGGGCAGAAGCCAGACAGCCACAGGCTGAGGAGAGCAACGCTGTAGGAATCGGACAGTCTTCCTGCGCAGAGGCCATGTTAACCTTCTCTGTCTCAGTCCGATTTTGGTAAATGTGCTGCCAAAGTGGAGCAGGTCAAGGAATTATGAGGAAAGATGCTAGAACATGAATACACTATCCATGTTTTAGATTCCTTTTGGCATATAAATAACAAAAGCCCTGATCGTAACATTTTTATTGACTCAGTCACCTTGATCTGAGGCAAAGCTCTAAAAATGTATAGTTGACCTGGCATTTTTTTCATCTTTTACTTATTATTCAAAAGAATTGGCCTTCCCTTTATCTTATGAAACCAAATTTATAAAAAGAATTAGACATTATGTTGGCTTGTGTATTACTGAGAGTTAGGAAACAGTATAATTTCCTTGCCTATTTTCTGCCCTTACATATTTCTGCTACATCAAAAGGATCACAGTTGAATTCTGTGAGGATGTGAAGATACAGAATTTACCCAGCACTTGTCTCCAACAATGGAAACAAGGAAGACCTCCAGATAAAAGGCAATCTCTTTTTTGAATAGAGGAGTCCCCCAAGTGGCAGAAATTGTATAATGGGGCCTTTCATTTTTTTGAAGTTTTTATTTAAATTCCAATTTATTAACAGGCAGTGTAATATTAGTTTCAGGTATACAATCTAGTGATTCAACACTTCCATAACAACACCCAGTGCTCATCACAGCAAGTGCACTCCTTAATCTGTGATAGGGCCTTTTAAAGACTTAAATAACAACACATTTTAAAGCCATGTTAAAATGTTTTGAGAAAAAATATTAAGCCAAAATGGAAATAATTGAAAATGTAATACCTTGAAAGTGGATACATTATCTCCAACGGCTTCTATTACACCAGCCACATCTGAACCAGGAGTATAGGGTAAGAGTGGTTTTCTGCTGTAAGTACCAGAACGAATATATGTTTCCACTGGGTTTACACCACATGCGTGGACTTTGATCAGAACCTGCAATGACAATGTACTTTTGTTCACACGGAACATTTAGGCATTCATTCAGCATTATGCTAGGACTCCACTGATTATGGGAATTATAAAAATGGAGGGGGAAAACCTCACCTTCAATTGACTCACATTACAGTTTTGCAAACCAACATATACATAAAAAAGATAAGACAGAAAGGCTTATTATATGCTATATTAAAAACATTTTGGGACAATAGTAGTGGAAGTACTTGAGAGGATGTGTGGCACAAACCTCTATGTGCTCATCAAATCTAATTCCTCCTCCTCCTGGGTACATAGGAAGAATATTATTTCTTGGTACCTTATGATTGAGTTTTAGCCAATAGAATGTGAACAAAAGTGATCAGAGTCACTGTCAGGGCCCATAAAGATGTTCTAGGCAATCCACACTGTGCCTCCACCCTTTTAAAGAAGTGACCCCAGAAGACAGAGGTGTTGAAGGTGCAGAGCCACATGATGGAAGGCTAGGTCCGTAAATCACTCTTTGAGAATTACCCACCAATGTTTTAGAATTCTGGAATTTAGTGAATGAGAAATAATTTTCTATTGTTGAACCACTGAGATTTTGAGGTTACATCTACCACAGAAGCTAATTTTACCTTACTTAATATATAATGATTACTTTTGCTGTGGGAGTTAAGAGAAGGCCTTACAAAGAAAGTGGTATTTGAGCTAGACCCTAAAAGAATGGGAGAAAAGGATATCTCAGGTAGAAGGAATAGTATGAGAAGGAATAAAAGGGCCTCTTGGGGAAACCAGATAGTGCTGCTTTTTACAGCACAGTCTATTGAAAAGGAGCAGTAAGAAATGAATCTCTAAAGTTAGGTTATGGCCAAATTGTAAAAACTCTCAAGAGGCTCAAGGTTCATTAAGGAAATGAGACTTGGGAGTCATGGAAGGTGCGGTAATAAAAATACATAATTTTTAATGAGAAAGTATATCATTAAAGTCACCGGAAATGATTAAACTCTTCATTTAAATTCTCTTAAATCACATATAGAAGGGCATGTATGCAGAAGAAAACCATTTTCCTACTGTGCACAAAATAGAAATCATGAAAGTTTGTAATAGAATAACTTGTTCAAAACTACTTATGACTCCGTGCAGAAAAATTCAATTATTGCCCTGCACAGGTGATCCTCAACCTCAAAAATGTTCTTATAGCAAGATATTTTTCCTTTTTATAGATCTACCTCACTGTTATAACTATGCTCTCTTTGTCAGAGCTCACATATATCATCACTATAAACTTTGTTCTAATTCAGTGTCTCTACGAATTATTGTGAGTCTGCTTCTTTTGAACATTAACCTCATGTGCTGGAGACTCACACTCAGTGTAATTATTGCCTGTTTTTATGTAATTATTTCCACCTGATGGTCTTTTGGAATTGGTACTGCAATATCCGACTGGAGTTTCAGCACTTCTGGTCCACCAAATTCAAAAACTCGAATCGCTCTCATCAACTTCTGTCCAGTCGCCATGGTGATCTAGACACAAAGAAAAAAAAATAATGTACTGTCATATGGTATCTAGGCTATATCACTATGTTTTTTCCCCTGGAGGAGGCAGATCAAACAATTTTTCAAACAACAATTTAAATCATGAGCTTACACAGATCTCATTTCATGTTTAAGGGCCTTTCATCTTACAAATTCTTCAGCTACAAAGCAAAATACTTGATATTACTTCCTGTAGGGATTCAGTGCCTTCCACAAGGGAATCAAACATGCAAACAAAAACATCTGGCTAGACATAGCATGACACAGTATCTTAGGTTTCTTTTTGTGCAAGTTTGTGCTGCCACATCTTAGAAATTTGTTAAGTTTTATTAACATTAGAGAAATAGACCTTCTGTTAGATTATGAAATATTTCAAATATAGAGAGAAACATAAAGAATATAATGAACACATTTACCTGCCACCCTGCTTTAATAAATCTTAACATTTTAAAAACCTAGAACATTATAGATATAACTGAAGCCTTCTGTACCCATCTCCAATCCCATTTCTGGCCCACCCTTTTAAGAGGTAATTATTACCATAAACTCAGCGCTCATGATTCCCAGGCATGATGTCATATCACTACTTCATTCAACAATATGTGCCATTGTGTTGCATGTTCTCAAACTTTATTTAGATTGGATCATACTGTACTTAATTCTGCAACTTGCTTTTTCTTCTCAACATTAAGTTTTTGAGATTTATCAATGGTGAAACACTTAGCTTTATGAAGCTCACTCATTTTAACAAAGGAGGAAAACATTAAAAACTAAAAACAATGCTTTGTATGTAATCTTTTATAAATTACAAGGGTCATTTACAGTTAACCTTTCTGTCCTACCACTGTTATTTTTTTTTGTACCACTGCTATCATTGAAATGAAAACTCAGAGTTAAACTCTTAGAAAAGGTCTAAAGAACATTTGAATATAAAAATAGCTAATTATGGAAATCTTCCATACCTATAGCGATGTAATGAAAGGGTTTTGACTGTATCTCCATAATTTTGCTTGCGGGTTATCACAATTTCTTGAAATTAACCACGTCAAATAGTTAGACTCTGCCACCACCCAGAACATCCTTGCTAATGTCTGGAATAATTATATTCATCAACAATGAGTAGGTGAAAGATCAAAAAGTTGTAGAAACTAGGGACTTGAGATGAAAGAATTCACACTTTTACTATATTGAAGCTCAACACAGGGCTACTCAGAAGAGAACACATGCTAACTATAAAATGTCCCTCCAACTATAGGGGGTAATTGAAAGCATTTTGATAGTATTATTAGTAGAAAGTTCTTGATACAATTAATCCAAAGTTGTATTATTTTAAACCCTTTATTTTAAGTGATGCCATGTAGTACCTAGCACAGAGGAGAAAGTAAATTGTCCATTGCTAGAAGGTTGTTGAGCAATGACATGTCCTGAAGGGCAGACCTCAAATACACGGGGGCAGAAGCAGGCAGAAGACATAAACCTAAGGTCACTGCAGAGGAGCTGGGCAGTCCCTGAGGGTGACACCTGTGTGGTGTGAGGACTGGGAAAAGGCAGCTCACCCCCTACCTGCCAACAGTCTCACTGCTGAATTTTGATCTAGCTCTTCACTCAAGCTGGGTATTTCTTAGACAAGAAAGTGAAAATATAAAGACAGTAAAAGAGAAACGACACCACCACCACCACCACCAAGGTTGCCCAGCTCAGAGTTTTTCATTCTGGAAATAAGAACACAGCTTTCTTTTCCCTTTTTGTTGCCAGCACGGTGTTATGGAAAGAGTACGGTTATGGAATCTGACAACTTTCAGTATGAATTCCGGCTCCATCATTTACTAGCCAAATGGCCGTGGGCAAGGCAGTCAACTTTGTTGAGCTTCTTCATCTGAAAACTGGGCTCCCACTCAGGGTTACTGTGCTAGAGACAGCAAGCATCAAGCATTGAACCTGGCAAGTGTTCACTCCTATGTATAGTAGATATGATTCCTTTCCCATCTCTTTTCTCCTTTTCAATTTCTTATTCATTAAAATACTCTTGATTCTATAATTCCATAATCACTTTTGATTTTACATAACAATATTTACAGGACTCAGATTATAAAAACAAGACCTTGGCCTCAAAGGACTCAGTCTGGAGAATCATTTAAACAAAACATTAATATCAAAATACTGGTTGTTATTCATTCGACATGTATACTTCGAACATTAACTGTAAGCGAGGCCCTGTGCTAACCCCATAGAACACAAAGGGCAAAAAGAAAATGCCCCAGCCCCCCTCTTAGCTCCAGTTCACTCTGTGCTCTCATTCTTTCACACAGCTACACACACCACATAAGATCTGCAGCTCCTTTTCCACTTTCTACCTTCTTCCTACCTATTTATTTCTTTCAAGCACTTGCATCTACCTTTTCACCAACAGACATCATTATCCTCAAAGAACTGTAGCAGTAATAAAAGCAAAATTATCCCGAAATAGGATCTGGCAAAATTATCTAACACATACATTTCCCCCCTACATTTTGATATCTGCTAAGTTGGGAGAAAAGAACAAAGGAAGGAGGATTCTCATCCTTAATACCGGATTTAGACGACCCTGCTGCCTTGCCTAGTACTACCATCTTATCCTACCGAGCGTGTAAGGAGACCAGGCATAACCTTGACAGCGCTGTCTTCTACTTTGCTTCTGTCCATCTTATTTCCCACTGAGCCTTTGCCACTATGATCGATCAGGCTTCAATCTGTACAAACTGCCTTTGAAAACCCCCTCAACTACCCATAGGATCATCAACTGCTTCACAATACATAACACATAAGGTGATATGTCAAAAGGAATAAGAAAAAGAATAAAATAACACACAAATTGTAATTATAATTCTTAAACCCCTAATACCTGATTTCTTCTAAAAAGCACACCTTTTATGTCCATTAGTATAATTATTTTTCACAAGAGGTAGAAAAGCAACCATTTAATTGTATGCAGAAATGGAAATAAAATCACCATCCATGTTATGGATGAGAAAACATCCCAAGAGGGTAAGAGACTCACCAGGGTCACACAGAAGCAGAGCTAGAATCCAAGTCCTCTACCTTAAATGTTGATTGGTGATGTACCCTTACTGTACAATCCTTTTCATCTTACCCTTTGAAATGTTGGCATAGAAGATCCTTTAACTTCTTAAAAATATACTTTATGACGATGAGTGAGACAGGCTCAGCTAGAAATCTGAAATTCAACTAACTTGCAGGTAGGATTACATATTTTATGATTAAGGCATCTGCTCAGAGTGTGAAATTTTCCAAATGTCTGTCAGTTAGGAGGATCCAGTAGTGACACAGAGGACAAGATTCTATTAGGAAAACTAATAATTTCCTTATCTGTAAAATGGGGCCAGTACTCCCTAGCATAGGATCCTTGTGAAGATTAACTGCAACAGTGGGGGGTGTGAGTGCTTCACAGCATGCCCAGCATGCAATATGCTCTATTATTCAGTCTAAATCATTTGCGTGTCAGCAGGCCTGCCACCTTGCTAGTGTTTTTAAATAGATTTTTCTATTTATCAAGTATAAGCTTTAAATTAGAGGACCTGGTTTAATTTTTGGTTGTACTTTTGACCTATAAAAAGTTGCCAAGAATACTTTGGAAATCTAGGAAATACAGAATTCTAAAATTCCTCCTCAAACAGTGATCTTCTCTATGCTCTGTTTCAATCCGTTTGGTTTAAATAAAAACTGAAGGGACAGGGAAAATGTTAGAACTATATTTTAATATAGAATGAAGAAATCAAGTCACAAAGGCAGAGCAAGGGCACTTATGAGAGAAGGGCATAAGTAAAATTAAGTAAGAATTTCTAGCAAGACATAAAAAAAATAAGAACTTGTAAAGAGAATCATCATTACGAAATGTGCCGCTGTCGATCAAGAATGACTCACGTAAGCCTTTTTTTTTTAGCCTTAAGCCAGAAATGTAAAAAAACCAAACAATTAAAAGTAGCCTAAGAAAAGTCTCTTCTTGGCTGGGTGACCTTGTCAGGTTACTTCCCTGGTCTGGATCTCAGTGCCCACTTCTGATAAGAGGGGGTGGTGGAGGAGGAGTGGAACAGATAATTCTAAACCCCTCCAGGTTCTTGGATGTAAAGATTGGATGGAACTAGGCCGGCAGCTCTTCCGTGCTCGGGAAGGGCTCAGTGGGATTTGCTAATGCTGACCAGACTTACATGGAGCGTGCCAGTGGCTTCAGTGGGAATCGCACAACTTTTCCACTACCAGTCCAAACGTGAGCCTTTAAATAGTTCAATCATGAACGCATTCTCTGGTCACTGTGATAAGCCTCATCTGGGAACTAAGTGAGCATTTAACGATGTGTTTACGCGGTGTTTTATAATTTTCTTTTCCTTTGAAAATTATTCTAGGTGGGGGTCACCGGAGTGGGTGGGTGGGGGTGTCAAAGAAACTAGGCATTTCTCTCCCAAAGGAAGACAGCACCTCTGATGGCAGAGGCGACTTAAGACCGGGCGGGTGGAGCTCCAGAGCCCCCGCAGTCGCGGCAACCGCAGAGGAGAAGCCTGTTCCCCCCGCGGGGCTGTGCGCAGGGCCCGCGGCCGACACCGGCTGCAGCAGGAACGCCCAAGCCCGGGCCCGGCGGCGGGAGCGGAGCCCGCGGAGCCCGCGGCGGCCTGCCCGGTGCAGCCGAAACGCAGATCTCACTGGAGACCAGGGCTGGGAGCTCGCGGCCAGCAAGTGAAAGTCCCTGCGTGATTTACGGATGAGGAATAAGTAACCCCTAGAGGGAAAGGTCTTCGGCCACGAGCTCCTTTTTCACATTCTCCAGGACAGAACGCGGGACAAGAGCGCGACCCCAATCAAACGCACTCCTTTGTGGACCAGCGGCGGGGAGATCCGCTGCCTGAACAACTACAGGGAACTTTTTTTAAAAACCACTTACCCGGTTCTAGAGTGGGGAGGCAAAACCTGCGAGGGCTCACTCAGACTCCACAGAAAAGGGGACGGAGCTGGGCGTCTTCTACACTTGCTGGCTCCGCCTCCCCCGCGCGTCTCTCCCCGCCCTCAGGGGAGGGCACGACAAGCTCCCGAACTCGGGACGAGGAGGAAGTTTGGGCCTTTCCGGCCACCACCCGCTTCAAAATGGCTTCCCCCAGGGAGAGGCGTGGGCTAACGTCAAAGTATAGACTAAATCCTTCCTCTCATGGATCATACCGCAGAGTTCAGGAGATGGAAGGCGCAGTGTCTGAGCAAAGCTGACCTCAGCCGGAAGGGCAGTGTGGACGAGGATGTGGTCGAACTTGTGCAGCTCCTGAATGGGCGAGAACCGTACTTCACCACCAGTTCCTGCGCTGGGCGCATCATCCTCCTAGACGGGGTGAGGCCCTATTTGTTTCAGTGCCAGCCCTGTGGTGTGCAACACCGAGAGCCCTGTGCCCACCCAGTGCAACACCCCAATCCAGCTTGTGTTTGTCCTTCTGATGGGTGGTTTCTGCTTCTTTATGAAACTTAAATGTTGAATTAGACCAGTGCTTCTAAAACTTTAATGTGTCTATAAAAGAGCATCACCAGGTGCTCTTTTATAATACAGATTCTGATTCAGTAATTCTGGGATGGAGCTGATGATACTATGTATTTCTAACAAGCCCCCAAGTGATGGCGAAACTGCTGGCCTGAGAATGCTCTTGAGTTGCAAGGATTAGAGAATATGATTCTGAATACTGGGGGAATTTAAAGACTCCCAGCAGGGCAAGGCGGCTTTTCTCCTCAGCCGCCTTTACCAAATCACCTACTTGACGGAACGTCTCCAGGGTTAAGGCGTTTACTGCCTCCTGGTGGCCCACTCCGTTATTACAGCTCTGGTAATTTTTACATTACGCTGAATATGGGTTAGTCTGAGATAGTAGTCAAGCCCTCAGGCTTTGGAGTAATACTGCTTAGATTCTAAGCTAATTATGGGACCTACTGGCTATATGATTTTAGGAAGGTTATCTAAGCTCAGCCCCTCCCTGTTCTATGAACTGAGGATAATGGAGTATCGGCTTCATAGGGATTTTGCATAGTAGAAATGGGATAATTTGAAACGTTTAGCACATGCCTGGCCCATATTAAGTGTGCCATAAAAGTTAGCTGCATGTCAATTTTAACATTAGGATTGAATTCAGAGCATGAAAGACAGCACACTCATAAGCTCATTTTTTAGATCCCTCATTGACTGATTTGCTGGTCCCCCAGGTTAGCAGGGCCTGTATATTTTTATATTGCCACCATTGCCTCCTGAGCAGTGGCACTCTAGCTGGACTTACTCTCTCCTACTGCCCTATTTTATCTGGATTTCTGCAGCGTTTTCCTAACAGGTCACTGATCTACCATTCTCTCTACTCCAAACCATGTAACATACAGTTAACAGATTCACCTTCCTAAAGACAACTCTGTGCATGTCACTCATCTATGCCGAAATCTTTTATTACACATTTTTCCAACATCAGAAAATCCAAACCCCTATTCTAGTATACCTTCCGACCCCTCTGCTACTCTGATATTTTCTGCTACTTCTCTTCATGTTTATCTCTTTACTAAAACTGAACTATTTTTCTTTAATAGCTTTTTTTTAAAAGATTTTATTTATTTATTTGAGAGGGAGAGAATGAGAGAGAGAGAGCACGAGAGGGAAGAGGGTCAGAGGGAGAAGCAGACTCCCTGCTGAGCAGGGAGCCCGATGCGGGACTCGATCCCAGGACTCCAGGATCATGACCTGAGCCGAAGGCAGTCGCTTAACCAACTGAGCCACCCAGGCGCCCTATTCTCTTTTTCATCTTATATTTACCTGCCTTTGCCTTTGTTTATATTTATTATTCCTGAAATGTTTCCCCCCATCTCTGTATATTTGAGATGTGACTCCCAAAACTCCCCTCTCCCATCTGAACACAAGCATACACACCCACTTGTAAGTAATGACTGCTTCTTCTGAACTGCCTCAGGACTTTTTCAGAACCTCTTTTCATTTTATGTGTATTATTTATTTTCATTTAGTCTTATTTCGGGAAGGATTTGCATCAACTTACAGAAAAGTAATACAAGAAGAAAAATTAAAAGTGGGAAAATCTGGATGAAGGGAATATAGATAAGATGAAGCTAGAGATGGCATTAGTTCCTAAGTATGCCCCTAGATTCTGTACATTTGCTAGAGGTGAGTCACACATTTCCTTCTAACATTTAGAGCAGGCAACATAAGATCAGGTAAATGTCACTGAGGTCATTCAGTGAAAACAAACCAGTTATTTAGGACAGGCACAGCTCTTCCTCTTTCCAAAGCTAGACAGCCAAGTCTCCTGTGAATTCATTGTAAAAATAGTTACTTTGTAGAAGTATAGTGATTTAGACTTAAGTATGGTTTCCTGCATCTTCTTTCCAGCCTCCTTGAGGGTAGAATCTGTTTATATCCAAAGAATCTAAAAGAACTTTACAAATAAACATTTTTTAAGTTAATTAAAAAAAAAAAAAAAACCTGATGTTAAGGTATTGGCTTCTTGAAGCTTTGACCTTGCAGTCCTAGCTCTGCCCTTTGGGTCTGTATATATAGTCTAATCCCGATGTTATAAATGTATGCCTTTAGAAACTAGAGACATAAGGGTGTGAACAGCCCACCTGTCAGTAAAAAGTAATAGGTCCTGTGTGGGATTGGGACAGTGCTTTTTTACAAAGGAAATTCCAAGTTCTTTTGTTTGCTTTTTTAATGTTGTGCAAGCCAAGGGGCACCTGGGAGGCTCAGTAGGTTGAGCATCCGACTCTTGATTTCAGCTTAGGTCATGATCTCAGGGTCGTGAAGCCTGCTTAAGATTCTCTCTCTCCCTCTCCTTCTGCCCCTTCAACCCCCCGAATCATGCTCTCTCTCCTCTCTCTCCCTCAAAAAAAAAAAAAAAAAAAAAAAAATTACAAGCCAAATAAAACAACTAGAGTATAACTCAGGCTGCTAACGTACAACGCCTTACAATAATCCCTTTTCTCCTGACAAAATCGTGATCATATTTCGGAAAATATTTTTATACCTTAATAAACAATTTATTTTCTTTATATTTCAACTAATTTGGTTTCATTTTTGTTTTGGGTTAACTTTACCCAAAACCTAGTGAATTATTCCCAGTAATACTTAAAATAACCACTTGGAATTATTAATCTTAAGAAAGCTTACAATTATGCTATGCATTGTACTTATTATTTGTGTAAATATTATATGATTAAATTATGTTTATTTTTTAATTTTAGGATATAAATGGTTTTGAGGTTCAAAAGCAAAACCGTTGCTGGCTACTGGTTACACACAAACCTTGTGTAAAGGAGGATGTGGTAAGTTTTTATATATAAACTTAGAAATAAACTTTTAATTCAGAATCATATTAAATACATACGAAAAAAATAGAACATTCAAGGTGGATTAATGTGCTTAATTATAAGGACTGAAGATTAAAAAACCTGAGGAGATTCATTATAGTGGCTTTTTTGATTTGGGAAATAAAAGTATAAATATGTATATAAGCATTATTTATTGCTCAACAAAACACATCCTCTTCAACATAGAGAGTTCATGGGTATTGGACACATAGTAGATTGAAAATTTGAATTTCAGTTCTACCATTTGATAACTCTGTAACCTGGAATAAATTATACAAGGAGAAGGGAGCTTGGAGAAAGGTACTATCTATATATTACCAACATACTGACATAAATAAGTTATGCATTATTTATCTGGATTGCTTCTTATAAGTCTTCCCATCTGTCCTGGGTTATTTAGTTTCAGAAATTAAAAATGTTTAGAAGAGTTCATATAAGTTTGTATTAGTCAGGCACTTTACATTACCTTTCAGGTGCTCAAATGTTGTCTTAGGATACTCACTCATTCTTCATCTCTTTCTTTGGGTACTGGTTCTTTCTGCATATTGGCCCTTATTCTCTTCTGCTGCAGACAGTCTTTGTAGTAGGAAAAATAGCTGCCAACAGCCCCATTAGAAAAGGACTTCTTCTTGCTAATATCCAGGTATTATTCCCAGAGGAGTCTGAGTCATCCTGCTTGGGTTAGATGTTCTCCCCTTGAGATCAGTTATTTTTGCCAGTAGAATGGAATACTATCCTCGATCAGACCTAGGCACTTGGCATCTCTGAGATTATTATAGCAGGAGTCATGAGTGATAGGGTCATGATTGACAGTCCCATCAGAATCAAATGGTGTGAAAAAGGGAGGATATAGCCCAAGGACACTAGGTGGACAGAAATAACAACCACCTTGTATAAATTCTAGCTCAGACATATATGCGTCTCAAACGTCAATTTAATAACAAAGCATTTAAACAGGACTTTCCTTTTTTTAAGATGTTTTATTTATTTATTTTTGCGAGAGAGAGTGAGCGAGCATGTGCACAAGTGGCAGGGAGGGGCAGAGGAAGAAGCTGACTCCCTGCTGAGCAGGGAGCCCCATGTGGGGCTGGATCCCAGGACCCCAGGATCATGAACCGAAGGCAGATGCTTAACTGAGCCACCCAGGCTCCCTAAACAGAACTTTCATATCATATTCCTTTTTTTTTTTTTTTTTAAAGTAGGCTCTATACCCAACATGGGGCTTGAACTCATGACCTCAGAATCGAGAGTCACATGCTCTACGGACTGATCCAGCCAGACACCCGCATACCGTATTCCTTAGTGAAAATCTGTTACAGAGTTAAATAGAGTAGTAGTTTACTTTCCCAGGTATGGCTGGAAAGAATGACACAGAGGTTTATGGGAGAATTAGGGATCAGGTCTTTTAAAAGAATAAGCAGATTAATCAGTGTTTGGAGGAAGAGGACCAAGAAAGCAGAGTGAAAAGTTATTGCAGAAAAAGGATGCTGGATGGTTCTGAATGTTTCTGGGAAAAACTGAAGTTGCATATGGTAAAGGGTCAGCATAGCAAAGGATCATATATTGGTGTCTGATGCTAACATTTCTCATTTATTTAGATGGCAGCTCTGAAGAAAGCAAATGGTGATGCCATTTTGAAATTTGAACCACTCGTTCTT